TTCTCAGTGCAAACACTTTTACTTAAAATAAAAAAATTTTACTTGCTTCAAGAAAATTATTTCTTTGAGGGGTACCTGAAACATATTTATTTGTTTTAAGTAATTTTTTTTCAGTGTACTAATACATTAGTTGGACTATTATGTGAACTTGTTTTGCAAAATCTAGCAAAAAATAAAAACTTCGAGCGATAATAAGTCAAGTGTAAGGGGAAGGAAGCGTAAAAACGAAACTTCCTTATAAGCTGTGAACGCCTCTTTTACATTTCGTTGCTCCACATTTTCACCTTCTAAAAATTTCGTTTACTTCCTCTGGCCAATCTTTCCTTACTCGACTTGCTCGGTTCGATTTTTATTTTCAATGAACCGTTAGCACGTCGCCAGCTAATGTTTAACATCATCGTATCTCACGCATTTACGGACACAAATCGTATTTTAAACTGCCGATTGAAAAATATCTCGCAGATCTCGAGCCACGTGCTTTATTCTATCCATTCTATACATTAACTCGTGAATCATTTCCGTCAAAACAAAGTGCAGTATCATTCGCGACACGTGTATACGCATGTTGCGCAAAAATTCGATATACATATTATATAATTTCATTCCTGTATTGAGAATATTTTATTTTATTTTTCTCAAGACGATTTGCGATCGATAGGTCATAAGATTAATTGGTTTGCCCGATAAAGATCGCATCCCCGATTTAAAGATTCTTTGCTGTAACGATAAGTCTGTTGGAAAAAACGCGTGGAGATAAGAAATGGACGCAAAGTGACATAAATAATTATCTATTTCAAGTAGCATTTTTTTTTATCGAGTTTCAAGAATCAGTGAAACGCGTAGGTTTACGTAATACGCGATTTAAAAATGCGTAACGCAAAGGATGTTGGAATTAATATTCCAACGTCCTCGGGACGGGCTGTAATTATAATTGCATTACGCTTTGTGATAAAATGTGTACTTAGATTATTTGCGCGGGTGATAATATAATTAGAATGGCCGTATAAATTATGAAATTGCGTCAATCCCCCCCCCCCGTTTTATTCAAAGTCGTGCGACCTTAATACGATACGTTGCAAGTTTTATTACAATCAGCTAAAATCGTTCTTGCTAACGTGGAATATTTTGTACATTTTTTTACTTGACAAGCTTTTTCCGTGATGACAGAGAGAAAAATGACAGAGGAAAATGAGAAAAGACACTTTTTTTTTGCAAAAACACATTAACTCATAAATATTTATCGCGAGAAAAAAAGTTACACGTGCTCTTAATTGTTCTTTCATCAATTTTTTTACCCGCAACTGAAACACCAGCTGATATGTAATCAGGATACGTTGGACTCTGGATTTGTTGATTACTCTCGAAGCAGATTTCAATCTCGATGGATTCGCTCGATAATCCAAAGTATTTATATACTTGAGGTGAACGTCTCTGATTCTAGGTACGCACACTCTCTTTAATGAAAATTCTCTTTTGTCTTTTCTCATGAGAGTCTGTAGCACGCGGCGACGTAATCTCGTTTGACGTTCGCAATCGCCTTAAGAGAGATTATTTTCCGTTCGATTTTCCGTCAGTATCTCCAATCGATAAACTTCTTCCATTCGAAATTACATTTCTTACGTTTTTTTCTTTCGATATATGTAAACAATTTGATAAGAATTATTCGAAAAGAAAAATACTTGTGTAACAGATAGATAGAAAAATCCGCGGACGCAAATGATGAGGTTGTAACATTTAATCTAATTTCTGTTTGTAGAAAAACGTTTCTTTTTTTTTTTTAGTTTTTAATTAATATAGCTTTTTCTTCAAACGCCTCTACATCGTCGAGAATTAAATCTTTGTGAAGAAAGAAGAGAGTGCGCGCGTATGTATCGATTTTTTTTTATCAAAAAACTCAAACTTTGCACACTTTTGACATACATTGCATGTATTGGATCATCTGGAAAGTTCTGCGGTTTTCATGGGGACAGATTCAAATGGTGTAATGTACGATACTTTTTGCAATTTATAATATTTCTCTGCTCTACAATTTTTGCACTGTATAACGAGAGAATTTTTGGCGATGCTTGTTCCAGTAGAACTTCCCAGACGGACGAATTCTATCATCCTCAGTGCAGGGACGCCCATATCGCGCCTCGTATTTGAGAGTGAAATTACTTTGTTGAAATTTCACAAAGCACCTTTGAATTGTGTAATCAGAAACACAGTATCTTGTCCGTAGACTTTACAAATTTTACGCGCAGTCGATCTCGCTCACGTTCTTGCCATTTCTCAAGTAAAGCAAAGCATAATATTGCAAAAATGTTGTTTCTGATTCTCCATTCTTTAAAGATACTGTAGAATCGAATATACTGAACATATGTCATTGTGAATAGATGCATTGTTTAAACAAAAGATTGCTCTTATCAAGTGAAGTTTGGGCTTCATTCAGTATTATAGCAGAGAATTAGGTACAGTATATAGAAGCACGGATCTATACATGTATATCGGAATGCATCACGAGAGGTATCAAAGTACCTCAGCTAATTTTATTAATATTATTATTAATAAAATTATTAAAATAAAAAAAAATAAAAAAAGAATTTTATTAATTTTATTAATTTTATTATAAAATCAATAAAATTATTTTATTTTATTTTTTATTAATTTTCGTGTACCACACTAATATACGGCATCCGTGCTTTTATACTCGTCGTCTATATTTTCTCTGGTATTAGTGCAAAATTCAAAAACTGGTATCCGCGCAGGTATGAGAAAACCGCAGAACTTTCCGGATGGCCCAACACATTGCTTCAGAAAGCTTTTTAATTATTGAACGTTGATTCTCTATCTTTTGCAATTCTTCGTATCGTATCTTGCAACGGATATAATTTAACGATTATTAGTCCGAGTATCGATGCGTATCTACATAGGTTCGAACATAGGAACGAACAAAGTATACGTGTAATGATATGTTATCGTGAAATCGAAGCTAAAACAAAGCTTATATAATCAAAGATAAGTTTTTATTTCACGTTAAGTATAGAAGCTATTTACTATATTTTTTTCCTATTCATCTCGTACTTATGTCTTGAGAAAATTTTGATTGATCGGGCGCGTCAACAGAACCTGAAAGCGTAGTTAATCATTATCTTCTAATCTTAACTCAACCGCGGGATCGTCTTTGTTACGATCCTGGGACGTCCGCGTCCGCGGGTGGTCACGTGCCGCCGCCACCGCCGACGACGACGACGACGGCGGACGAGCTCGCCGTCGGTCGGAGGTGTTTAGTGGTGCACGCGACGCGCTCGTCGTCGCTTCTCGGCGTTCCTCGGCGTTGCTCGGTACGGTAATCGGCCCGGCTTCACGCGGTTCGGTTTTGCGGGGGCGGCCCGCGGCCCGTGTCGGAATCAGTATAAGGAATCCGTCACGTTCCGTTCACTTCCGTTGCGTTTTCGGTTCGGCGCGCGTTGCGTGTTCGCGGCTCGTGTCCCGATTCGCCTGGATTCACCCGCGCGCGTCCCGACGCGATCATCCCGCGGCTCCCGCTCGGCTGACGCTCGACAGTGACGGCCAGGACGTGCCGCAGCCCGCCCTGCTTCATCGCTCGGTCTCTACCCCGTTTCCGTTTCACGGCGCGGCGACGATCGATTTTTCGCCGCCGCGTCCACCCGCGCCCTACGCCTCTCGCCTCGCACGCGGCACCGCGCCGCGTTTTTAACGAGACACGCCAGGCAGGCAGGCAGGCAGAGGCGAGCATATGCACGCACGCATCGTGCTCTATTTTCGTATGAATTATTGATGGAGATCGACCCGACGCGCGGGACGTGATTTCGCGCGCCCGTGATGCACGCATATCGTTACAGCAACTATAATACTTGCAACGCGTGTAGTCGAGAGAATTGTGGGAATCGGAGAACAATGAGGAAGGAGGATTATTTTGTTACTATCCCCGGCTGTGCACTCGGTTCGACGTGCCACGAGATAATTATTCCCTTATCTCGGAAGCACGAAGTACGAGGCACACGGGGGGGTCGGTTATCGGCCTAACGCCGTTTGTTTAACGAAAAGTTGTCGTGTTTTTATAACAATAAAATATTCGTCCACTCGAACCGCACATGAAGTTACGCATGATATGAATAGAAAATAGATAGACAATAGTAGACAAATAATGTTTTTTTTTGTAATAATGTTTCCTCTACGGTTGGAGGTTTAGTTATTGCCTTTTGTAGTCTTCTCTATTATTCCGACAACGAAAATATTACTGTATTTATCGTGGATTTGTTGTCACGAATAAATCATAAATGCAAACAGTTGCGAAGTATTTATTTATATTCTTTTCACGGAATTAGCGTTAAACGGGCTTATTCTCAAAATGCGATACGTTGCCAGATGTCACTTTGTTATTGTCTCCCAGTAAATAGTCTCGACGTAAATAGAAAGAAATGTCAAAAGTTATCTCAGAAGTTCTGCAAAATTGGTCAGTCAGTCTTCTGAAGGATTAAAGTAAAAATATGTATAAATGTCCCTCCTCGCTTTTATTACATTTTAACGACGCGATTAAGTAATCTTATTGTTTTTTGCATACACATGACGTATGCGAATATTAATATTAAATTCCTTTTCTCTCTCTCTCTCTCTCTTCTTTGAATCATTAAATATCAAAACATATACATATGTATATATATCTGATTCATATATGAAATTATACATATATCGTCGATTAGCTTCCCCTCTTAATTTTTTCCCTGAGGCGTATGTATATTATAGGAAAAAATGCAAATCGTCGTTTCTCGGAGGAGGGAGAAGAAAAATTTTCCGCGATCTATCGATCCATTATTATTTCTGTAATCATTATTCCTTCGCGAGATCGACGGCGGATCTTATCGCGGCGGATCTTATCGCACCGCGGGACGCGGTCGCCGCGTGGACGGCGCGTCGCGATATCATTCTCGAGGATCGTTGATAAGGCGGGATGTCTTTTTTTATTTTTTATTTTTTATTTTTTATTTTTTACCGAACGCGACTTTTCTCTCTCGCCGCCGTGCACTCGCTGCTGCAGCGTCCGCGAATATCCGCGGGATTCACGTCGAGCGTGCGCGCGCTTTCTCCGTCCTCCTCCTCCGCTATACCGCCGCTACTCTCCGCGCTCCTCGCCGCCGTGCCGTGCCGTGCGCGGGTTTAGGAAATGTAGGTCTAGCCTGCCTATACTTTCTTCGTGGCAGTCTACTTTCCACGTGCGGAAGGTCCGAAATCGCGCTCCTCGGCCGGCCGTCTCGGAGGACGATCGTGTGTATCGTACGTCGCGACTTCGCGAGGCATATATCCGCTCACGCGATTCGGAGCCAGTCATCGGTATAAAATAATCCCTCTTTTTCGTGCGATCGAGTTTCCTGCACGTTCTGAAACGACCTGGTGACACCCGGCCTCCGCCGCGTCGCAGGGTGCAGTGCAAAAAGGACCCCCCTCCGCCGCTCAGGAAGGAAATATCTTGTTTTCACCAAAAACGCGCGGGGAATTAGGATTCGAACTGCAGTTTGCGACGGAGAGGTGAATTGTAAAGTGGACCGTCCGTCTTCGTTTCCTCGGGAAATTATAAATTGTGCGACGTTTCGTCTCGTGGGGGATTTTGAAAAAAGAAAGGAAAAAGAACCATTATGATGGTCCCCTTTTCGCGTTGCATCTTAAATTGTTACGCTCTCGTCTCGCGATAGTTTCTTGCTCCCCTATAAACGCCTCGCGGGGCTTCGCAGCCCCGTTTCGATTCGCGGCCGCCGCCGCGGCATGGCAGAGTGAAATTGGCGAACAGAGCCTGAGGAGGGAGGACGCGCCGCGGAGGATAAGAAAGTTGAATTGTTTATCACGCCGCGCTGGAATTGAGACGGACTTTCGAGGAGAGCACGTCGTGTTCTTTTTTCTTCAAATCAATCAATTCCGCGGCGACGAGTGCGAGACGAACGGGATACCGATGCGATCCACTCTGTTTTGAAATGTGTTTATTTTTAAAATATATATCGCGGCGCGAATTACAGATTGAGACGAGTCTGAAGTTAAAGCCCCATCTACATAAGTCGCAAATGCAAAACGCAAACGCGTTTCTCTCTTTCTTTTCTTTTATTTTTTGACGTTTCAGTCTTTTTTTTTTCTCCGCGTTTGCGTTTGCGTTGTGCGTTTGCGACTTATGTAGATGGGGCTTAAAATTGTGGAGTAGAAAACGCGCGCGGGCCAACACTGAGGAAAAAAAATTGTTGATTTAAAAAAATATTATTTCATTCAACTAAATGCGGTGGTCAAACGGGCTGTCAAGTGTCAAGCAAACATTTGTTAATTCAACCAAATACATTGTTAATTCACAAAAATATAATATAATCATGTTATTGATGTATTATTTAATTCAAAAACATATATAATTGAATCGAAGAAAAACTGTCAACAAAACGCGTTTAGTTATTTTAACAATTTTTGTTCTCAGTGAAGATTTTCTCAGTGACTAACAGTGAAGAGAGTCTCCGTGTCTAGCCGAAACCTCGCGTAAAATTTCGCGCGCGATTGTTCAACGCGGGCAATGTTTTTCTTTTTTTTTTTTTTGCCTTTGTCGCGCTCATTTCCCTGATCCATAATCATCCGTATAATGTTCGTTATTGCTCGCCAATTATCGGATAATGCCACCTTTTATCTTACAATTATATAGCGTCGACGTTCATTAGAGATTAATAGATGCTGGCGTCTTACACGTTTACTTGAACGCCGTGAAGCGTCGTGAAAAGCGTCCTTCCTCTCGGTTCTCTGAAAATAGATTTTCCGGCGCGTGTTTTTACTTCATCGCATGCGTTTACGTTATCAGCTGATTATCAGCGTCCAGTCCGGTCGAGACCAGCGTCGAATCGATAAAGTTGAAAATTATTTTTCTACAGATGCACCTGGACAATACTTGGCGGATTATTAACTTCGTAACTTTCTAAATGTAATTTAAAATCAATTTGCAACTTTCTATGTGTAATATTTTTCGCTAATGGTCTCGCGACGCTCCGTTTTCAGCTCGTTTCTCTTAATATAAAACTTAATATAAAATTGGGATGCATTATTTCTGTATATCTAATATAGTTTAAGACATAACGAATAGTAGAGCAATATAGTACAAGCAGCCCGATAATTTTCAATATATATTTTATATAATTTAAGATTATAGAATTATAAATAAATAGGAAAAAAATAGATATTAAATTATATTGAATTATATAAGAATAATTTTTACAAAATTGTGTGTTATCTTTGCAGAACGGCGGTTTCCTAATATCAACTGAAAATGTCGGACGTTGAAGGCGATGACGAGGTAGATATTCATTTATTCAGAGTTTATTGTGTTTTTGCACTTATACAAATTGCATTGTATGTATATTTGATATCACACTTTTTGCATTTCAGTTCCAAGATGCTCAGGAATCATTACCACAGTACGTATCGCATATATTATTCACACGGTTCTATTTGCGTCAAGCATTTCCTTCGCTTTGCGAAATTAAATTTTTTATTTAACAGAAAAAAAGTCGCTTATTGCTTCAGAATCATGTTTATTGCTACGCGTAATTTATCGCATGTTATTTCAGGTTAAAGTTACTTTTTTTTCTTTAATGCGCTGTTTTCCTGTTTAGGAGAAAAGATTAGACTTTATCCAGCTCTTGTTTAAAACTCCATTTTGTCGCAATACGCATCATAATTATTATTATCAATACTACTGTTATATAATGCTTTATTTTCTTTGACGTTGCGAATCTGTAAGTGGAAAAATTTTGCCGCAGACTCGCGTCTATGGATCTGGATACGGCGATAATGGAGGCGAAAAAGGCGATTTACTGTTTCTTCAACAACGACTTCGACGAGGCGAAAAAAATCTTGGAGCCATGGGCGGACAGCAGCATGTACCATTCTCTGGGGGCTAGCGTATTCGCGTACATGGAGGCGATTCTTACGTTCGAACAAGTATTTCGATTATTCATGACATTTCTCCTCTCACGCTTCGAGCGTTATTTTTTTATTTTATTTATCCAAGCTAGAAATCCACCATACGAATCTATAATCTTCTTTAACAATTGTATCGTAAATGCAATTATGCAGAAGCACATCGAGAAGGCGTCGAAGATGTTGAAGCAGTGTATGAGCGTGTGTTCCAAACACCGGAAGCACACCACTATTACGCAGAACATCGGGAAAATGGTGAAGAAGATCAATTACGATGCTTACACGAACGGTAATGTAATTGTACTTATATGCAATTGTGTAAACCAGCATGCAATATATTATCTGTTCGATGCATTTCTGATGAATATGTTATCTAACACAAAAAACAAACATTAAATGTATTACATACAACAGTGTTTTAATTAACTAGTAAATTCACAAGTTTTTCCTCGACCTTTATCTCGAATCTTTATTAATGAATCTAACACGATTATACAGAAATTTGTCGGCAAATATTAATACTTTTAATCTCTGATTTCGAGTCAACGATATAATAGGCTCTTGAATAACACATACGTTAGCTTTTATTAATAGAACTTAATAATTTACAATGCTAATCTGTCTATCATTTCTCTTTGCTGTGTTATGTTAATAGAGATTGTTGCAAAGGCATTTTACAAGATGCAATTTTATAGCGACTGATCCGGTTATAGCCATGTTAGCTTTTTGTGCATGAAAGGAATGACCAAGGATTAATCTTGCAGAGGAAGTGCATGCGGAACTCTGTTATGCCGAGTCGCTCCTCTTAAAATCGATGCTCACGTTTGTGGAGGATGAAACTCTGGTCAGCTTTGTCAAGGCAGGACTGAAAATTCGTACCTGTTTTCTGTCGTACAAGTAAATAAGTCAACAACGGTCTCCCGTCGACTTCTCGATTTCATCCACAATTCACAACTATCTCTCTGTCTCTTGCAGGGAATGCATGACGATCTTGAAAAACCGGAAGTGGGGAAACGACATTCACAAAGTGCATTTCGAGAGTGGCGTTCGCATGGGTATCGGCACGTTCAATTTGGTATGTATATATTATATATATATATTTTTTATTACGATTCTGTTTTATTCAGATAATATATTATCTTATCGCATATATTTATTTTAAATCGTATTTTATTTCAGATGATCTCATTGTTACCAGCACGTGTTATTAAATTGTTAGAGTTTATCGGGTTCTCCGGCGATAAGGTGATTATAGATTATATATTATATCTTATGATTATACATATATTATAATAAATCTATTATGTAATATAATATAATCAGGGGTCGGTCGTATTTAAAATAACATTATTTAAAATATGTATTTTAAATAACAAAAAGTTAAAGAGTTATTTAGTATTTATTATTTTAAATAGCTTCTTCTGATCTATTTTATATTTTATATTTTAAATATGTTTTTGGAATTTATTTTATATTTTTTATTTTAAATAAGTCGTGTTTTTGGAATCTATTTCATATTTGTTATTTTAAATAAGTTATATCAGTTACTTTATCAACTTCTGCTTATCAGGGATCGATATTTAAAAAAGCATTATTTAAAATATGTATTTTAAATAAGAAAAAGTAAAAGAATTATTTAAAACTTATTATTCTAAATAATTTCTTCTGATCTATTTCTTATTCAATATTTTAAATATATTTTTGAAATCTATTTTATATTTTTCATTTTAAATAAGTCGTATCAGTTTTTTATTGATCCCTGCGATATTTTATTTTAAATAAGTTTCTGGAACCTATTTTATATTTGTTATTTTAAATAAGTTGTATCAGTTATTTTACCGACCCCTGAATATAATATAATATAATATATTATATAATAAGAATATACAGTGCGTAAAATACTTATCAACTCGATCGTTATAGGAATACGGTCTAACGGAATTGAAAGCGGGCTACGACGAGACGAGAGGTTTACGACAAGTCCTATGCGTGATGACTCTGCTCGCCTACAATTTGATAGTCACCTTCGTACTGAGCCACTCGGACGGCGACCTGGACTGGTGCGAGCAGGTGCTGGAGCAGGAGCTGAGCATCTATCCGAACGGCGTGTGGTTCCTGTTCTTCAAGGGTAGGCTGGAACTCACGCGCGGCAACTTCGAGGAGTGCATAGACTGGTACATAAAGTCGTGGAAGAGCCAGAACGTTTGGCCGCAGTTCCATCATCTCTGCTACTGGGAACTGATGTGGACGCACTGCTCGATGCAGCAGTGGAGCCAGGCGGTAACGTACGCGACGATGCTGGCGAACGAGTCCAACTGGTCGCGCACCATCTACCTGTACCAGAAGGCCGCGATCCTGCTTATGCAGAAACCGACGATCTGGAGCGACGAGAAACAGCTGATCGACACTCTGATGATGCAGGCGCCGACCTTCAAGCAGCGCATCGCCGGCAAGTCACTGCCGATGGAGAAATTCGTGGTCAAGAGGACCGAGCGTTACTTTGCGCAAAAGAAGAACCTAGTCGTGCCTGTGTTCGAGCTCATGTACGTGTGGAATCTGTTTAGGATAATAGGCAAGCGGCAAGATCTGATGTTGAGTATATTCAAGAGAATAGAGGAGGAGGAGAGGGAACTCCAAACGGCGTCGTAAGTTTTTTTTTTCAACGATTCCAGTTTTTACTTTTTATTATTCGCTCCATCTTATGATTATGTAAAAGATAAAAAAAAATACAGCAAGCACTGTTTTCAATCGTCATTTTTTTTTCTTCTGTTACATAAATGCATATAATCAAGATACATATGCAACGTATTTTGTGTTGTAGGAAAAATGAATATCACGCCGACAACGAAGCGCTTCTGCTGCTGCTGAAGGGCGCCTGCCTACGGCAAATGCAGCATCCTTTACTGGCGGAGGAATGCCTGCGGCGCGTTCTACAGCTGGAAAAGTCTGTCAAAGAGGACACGTACTTATTCCCCTATGCTACCGTGGAGTTGGCGTTACTGGCACAAGATCAGGGCGACATTCAGCTGGCGATAGGCTTTCTGGAAGACGCCAAGTTAGTTCGGAGCCTAATACGATTATATGTTTAATGTTGTTGGCTTTCACACATTGGAAACTGACCGCGTTTAAATTTCAGAAAAAACTACACGGGCTACTTACTGGAGTCTAGACTGCATTTCAGAATACATTCGGATCTGATGATACTGACCGACAAGAAGGCCAACAATCACACGTTGAAGAAACACGCGAACGCTCATCATCGGTTGGAAACAGCTATCGCTGCCAATAATAGCGTCATTATCGCGGGTCCAAGTGCCGACGAGATTAAGACATAGAAGCGTCGGTAAAAGCATATCGGAGATCTACTTATATTCTTGCGTAAGGTTCTTTTGTACCTTCCTAAAACAATTCATATACATAATGTATGTATGACGAGGACTCTTTTCGCGAAAACGAACCGGGCGATCGTTTTATATAAAAAAAAACTTCTCTCTAACATTAAACATGGCCTTGCGCGTAACTTTTGTCCGGCATCGGTAGAGTCCGAGGATGTCACCGGATCCACTCTCTCCGGAAGGTTGGGCACATTTTTTTTTAGCGCTTGATATTATAATGTATAAATTAATTTCTTCCATGAGAAGAACGGCGAGATAGTAATATATAAAAATATTTTGTAGCTGTAATGTTTAATATACATAAATTATATCTTTGCGCGGGAGAAATAAAAATATAAGTATATATCTCTTGCGGATTTTACACAAGGATTGGGCATATATTTTATAGACAATTGATTATCTGATATATACGCATTATATGGATTATTATCTAGAGAAATTGTTTCCTTTAACGGAAGATCGGCGAGGTTCCAATGTGATCTGTGATTGCTCTATTGTAATTGACGAAAGATTTATTATAAATAATTATATGTTTTATGAGGCTGTAAATACGTAATCGTAGTCGGGTATTATTGCGTGAAGTAATAAATAAAAATTCAGAATAACGTTATCCCTCTGAGCATTTTTTTAAATTTGACCTATTTTTTTAAAACAGAAAATTTGAATTTGATACAATTGTAAGAGATGTAAATTTAAGTTATTAAGTTATTTCCATGTTATTAAAGATATATATATATATATATATATATATATGTATATATATATTTACAATATATAATATAAATTATTTTAAAATTTATACATTTAAAAAAAATAATTTGTTATATATAATATATATATGTATATTAACAATAATACAAATTATTTTCAATAATTTATACATTAAGAAAAATAACTTATTATATATATATATACTGATTGCAATTAGTACAATTACCGTGTATATAATATATAATAAAATATGTATGATTTTTTGACATTTTTTTTATGTTTGAATATTATTAAAAAAAGGCTTGTTTACGTTGCTTGAAATTCTCAAAGTTATTGCACTTAAAACGAGATATATATACACATATATATATATATTTATTTATTTATTTATTGTATATATTATTAATTATATATTCGGAGTTGAAAAAAGAAAAAGCAAATATTCTAAGTGCAAAAAGTGCAAGCACGTACAGGCCTATGGAAAAACATGTGTCTCCTAGGGATCCTGTTTAGCAGTATTTTATCACTAGGAAGTAACTCAAAGAAAGTAGGTTATGTTAATGTGATGTGCGTGCACTACGTCGTTCGACGCATTAAACGTGTAATTTCGAAGAAGATTTGAGATAATTGCAGCCGCAAACGTGACGTACTCTGAAAGAGACAAGGAAAGGCAACACAATGTCTTTACGCTCATGTGAGATTTCATTTACGTTGACGTTTAGTTTGCCAATACTAGTACGTTCGATAATGCATCTTACGCACCACAGATCTCTGCCGCCTGTTTTGTTTCTTCCAAATTTTATTTACGCGGTAACGTAATTAATGTTGATTACGATTTTGTGCAACCAATGCACAGCGACAATAAGTTAAACCGCAAGATGACGTTTGTCGTCGTAAAAGTGATTGTGAACAAAGTCGAATTGACTTAACCTGTCAACATGACATATCTGTAGTATTTTATTAATGTGAACAGAATTGTCAGTTTGTTCCTACCTACGTGAGAAGAGAGAATAAATTACATTAGAGAACAATGAATTACATAGTTAGAAATTTTGCTGTAAACAGATTCTACCGATTGAATTGATCGTAGAGTAATTTAGTCTCCGAGTCGAAAGCATTAGGCCTGTTCTTTTTAGCTAAACTGGCTGCACTAGTTTGTCTTCCTTTTTCCAATAGTAGAAGGAGAAAGATGACCTGTGAATTGGTGCAGCCAGTTTTCAGCTAAAAAGAACAGGACTATTCTAAACAGACACGGAAAGGTTCAACAAACGCGCTGATTGCAGATTCGCTTCTGAGGGGAGTCCACAGGACATACGGCAGGAAATTCGGTACAGCTGTTAAGGTGAAGGACGAGCAAGCGGCTCAAGTGTGCTCGTTTCGCACGACAGAGAGCAATCCAGTCAATCACAGTGCAGAGCACATTGCCAGATTGTATACAGTGCCGACGGACATTCAGCAGCAGCTCTTTCAGCACGGAGGCTTGCCTAACATGTTCATGAAACAAATCACCACTTTTCAAGAGTGCGGGATATTGATCAGGCAACCTGCGATCGAGATTATGTCTTATCTCAGTCAGGCCGACTATACGAGGCCTGTCAATAAATATGTATTATGTATCCTTTTGGTAACAAAAATTGTCCCTTGTTTTTAATATTGCGAGGACTGTTTTAGTTTTTTGTCTTAACTTTCTGTCAAATATTTTTTGTCGCCAATATATTTTTTTGTATTTCATATTGAAGTAGCATTACACTAATTATACTTAATATAAGGAAATTCCTTAACGATATCGAACAGACGGGAAACATGGAACGGGAAAAAGTATCATATTGAGTCACATACTGCACTACGCTCTTATGCAGAATTATTTACTTGTTCATGTATATTGGGGTATGTCATTATATTTTATGTAAATGATAGATTTATTATCTTTCGTCACGCTGCAATTGCACTAATTGTTACGTTCGTTTCTCAGCTGCACGTTGGTTCAAGGACTTTAAGGAGGTTGCGACCTCGACGTTATTCCCAGGCTGCATGGATCTACCGCTCGACGCTGGGATGTGGCTGAAACACTTCAAATCGCAAAACTCGAAGTTACTTTTGCAATTAGACGTACGTATATTCTGAGACACGTCATTTTGCTGGTCACATCCTTTTCAGAGGACCTTTTCATACCGACGTTTCGACGATTTCGACACTCATTTTTAGCGTCAAAACGGATCACATGATCAGAATTGATGCTTGGTATTCGTCAATTTCGATTATGTGTAGAAATGTAAAAAAAAAAACGCGTTTTATTTCATTGAAGAAATACAAATTTGGTTTTTTTTCTAATTCCGATAGCACGATTAATTAATTGTAAATAATAATTATATAATTAATTTTAATGTGATCTACATTTAATTTTTATAAAAGGTGAATTTTTTAATTCTTTTTCTAAACAGCTTTTCCTTAAGTAGAATTTATTATAATTATTCGTTGAAGTCCTTGCTTCAAAATATGTTTCAGAATCAATATATTGGCTTTCTCGTTCTGCATAAAGGTTAAAATGATGATAATTTAAATCTATTATCTATAAAATAAAAAATCATGAAAAATTAACTTATATCAAGCAAAATATAGATATTAAATAGATAGCCAAAAAAAATAAAATTTTGAGAAAAAAACAAGGCTTATTTTTTTTTCTTTAAAAAAAATGAAAAAAAATTTGGTTTATTTTTCTATTTACATCTCTAATCATGTGATCTGTTTTGACGCTAAAAATGAGCGTCGAGGCGGTATGAAGAGATACCTTAATATGCGCGCTTGCTCCGCAGCTCAAAGTAACCAAGGATTACACGTGGAATCAGCGCGAAATGAGTCCACAAGGTACTCCGATCTTGGAGTTCATTGATTTTGGCATAAACCGTATGAAGTACGCCTGCGGCGTGGTGGACGCGCTGATAAAGGAACTGAAGCTCGCCAGTACCGCGGGGAGGTGCAAGACATTGGTCATGATAGACGGATTCAACGCGTTTACATCGGATTACACGAACATCCGCGACGACAACAAGATAATGGTTCTGCCCAAGCAAGTCTCGCTGGCGAGACCGTTCTACGATCTGACGAAAGACGACTGGTGTAACGGTGCAATTGTAATGTCGGTAGACGAGAAGGCAAATAAGGTACGACAATTTGTATCGCATATAATTAGACGATCTCTTTTGTCCAAATAAAAAGAAAGGTATTACGAAAAAGTCTCGTTTTTGCTGTGCTCGCGTAAAATAAAATATCGACATAATTATTGTAAAATGACAGGAAATTGTGGGCCAAGAAACGAGCAAATTTTTAACTGGGTGTTACATTAACATCTTATATTTCAAACAATTACAATGCTAGACTGTGTACAAAATCGCGATACTAATTTCGACTGTCAGTCTTCTCTTCAGCCGCTCTAATTTAATTATCGCTTAAATACACGCTATCCTAATGTCATAATAAATGTCTATAAATATAAAATATCGAATGTAAAATATGTAGCGCAAATAAATTGATCAGGATTTGTCGTCATAATGTGACAAATTAATCCTGATTAATTTATTTGCGCTACATATTTTACGTTCGATATTTTATATCTATAGACATTTATTATGACATTAGGATAGCGTATATTAAAGCGATAATTAAATTAGAGTGGCTGAAGAAGACTGTGGCGACAGTCGAGACTAGTATCGCGATTTTGTACAGTCTAGTATTGTATAATTGTTTGAAATATAAGATGTTAATGTAACACCCAGTTAAAAATTTGCTCGTTTCTTGGCCCACGATCTCCTGTCATTTTGTTATTTAATAACGAGCCGTTTTGTTGTTTTATTAGATAATTATTATAGTTTTTATGACGAGAAACCTAATGGAGGTATAGTTAAAGTTATGCCACATGTCGAGAACACACATCGAAAAATGAGCTCAAAGTTGGGAAAATACGTGGCATTGCCGTAAGTCGCTATGCTGCATGCGCCGATGGTACGGAGTGTGTGATAGTTATGCCTTGACATTAAAAATAAAGAATAGTGTTATAAAAATATTTAATGGCGAAAAATATCAGGCGCAACGAATAGTGCGCCTGCACTCGAACATATTCGAGTTGACTTCCCCATCCCGGCGGACTGCCGTGCGCCTTTTGCACAAACAACGTGTCACACTGCATACCATCGATACATGCAGCGACTTGTCTCGCGAATAACGCCACGCATTTTCCCGACTTTGAATTCAATTTTTGATGTGTTCGGCGATATGTAACGTAATTTTGTTTAGTACCATTGGATTCCTCGTCTCAAAAATTATAAGAAATAACGCCAATTTTACTTTCCGAGGGCAAAAACAAGTCTTTTCATAACACACTTCTTTGATTCAATAGATTAGTTGGAGTCGGAGAAAAGGAAACGTTACTGGTTTTATATTTAAATTAAAATTCAGAAAAATCCAACGACATATATAAATAGACCAAGCATTTCCTATGCTTGTGCTGTGGAGAGAGTGAAGCCGGTTGGCAGTTTACGACTGAGAGAAATAGCGT